GCAGACAAACCCGAACGCATCCTTACCAGAATCCACCGCTTGGACCCTAACAGGAGAGTCACAGCAGATGGTGAAGCCAAACCCATTCTTCCCACGTGGGATTGTAATCTGAAACAAAATAAATTTTGCACGCTTTTTAAAAACTGGTTAAAACTGAATCATAACCATGGATTTTTTTTTTTAAAAAAAGCAATGATTTCAGTATTTGAATAGCTTAACATTTTTATTCACTATCTTTCTTTTCCTCCCCGCCACTCCTGTTTTTCTAAGTTTTGTTCAGGTATACAATTGCTATTTTTTTTTAAAGCTATTTCAAATCATTTTTTAGGATTTTCTTCTTCCTTTTTAATTTTAATGTAGTATATGACTTTCCCTCTCTGTTTTTAATCTGTATTATTAGTTAGATGTGTTTTTTTCTTGAAGTATATTATCTTTTCTACAAAAATAATATACGCTTGCCCAGTTTACACAAACCATTAAGTATCAATATGTTGTGTCTATTAAGAACGTTAATTGTAACTTTTTAAAACTCAAAACAATATCAATATATTAAAATAAGTATTACTTCTGAATCTCACAGCAGAATCGAAGGCAACAAAACTATGCTAGGATTAAAGTGTGTTCATTCAAGGGACTTAAATGTGATATCATTGATTTTTTAACAAAAATATGTAACCCATTCTTTAAAACTATTACGACAGGCAGTGAAGGTAACAGCATTTTTTTTTTAAAAAAAAAGGAACTGGACAAAGAAATAATTAGAGCCTAATTGTCAGGTGGTGCTCCATTCAAAGTCCAAGAAAGAAACACTTAGACTCCATTAATATAGAGAAAAACATCTTTTACTGGAAATCAAGTGGTAGCATCAAAGGAATTCTGAATCTGAGGAAAGGAAAGAAATCTTGAAGGCTGACACTAATAACTTTACTTGTTAACTAGGTAAACTGATACACAAACATCATTAACGGTAAAATTATCAAGCTGCATGAATTAGGCTCATGTTTTATTGATAACTAGGTATCTTCTACTTAAAAAAAGGAAAGAAAAAATTAATTTAATACAGAAATCAAGAGTGTTTGCTCAGACTGCCAGGAGGAAGGGAAGAAACACGAGCTGACTCTCCAGCTAACAAACCCCACAAGGCATTTTTCTTTTCCCGCAGAACTCAGGCGTCTATTCCATGCGAGACCCTCCAGATTCCAGAGACCCCCGTTGGGCTTCCTGTTTGACCAGCCAAAGGGAAAGAACTGCCCTTCCGATTTCGGAGAAAGGCAGCCTGGAGGAGGAGGAGCCCTGCAGCGCTTCCAGGAAGCCCTGTGCTGAGGGGAGAAACAAGCACGGCGCCTCCCGCCGTCTGAGCTGCAGCTTTTAGGGACCAACTACAGGTAGGATGGAAGCGGGACAGATTCAAGAGGCTCATCACCAACTAATGCACACATGAAGAGGATGCTAAACACAGCCGGGCAACGGGGAACAATTGGAAGTTTGCAGCTGGATAAACGTTGCGATCCTATGCACTTACTTACTAAACACTTACTTCGTGTTTAAGTCCCGCAAAACCCAACAGATTTTATTTAGGTGTGTAACTGCGTCTTCTTTTTTTTTCTGGACGATTTAGATCCTACCCACCCACCCACCCCATCTCCACAGCTGAGGGTGAGCTGCCTGCCAGAAGCCCGTAGTCCACCTCTGGTATCAAGCTCCTTCTTTAGCCCCCCGCCCCCAAAAAAAAGTCGGTGGCTCGAATGCCCCTCACCCCAAGGCCACGGAAACCCAAAAGACTCAGGCGGGGAGTCGCCCTCGACAGTGGGAGCATTAGGAAGACCGAGCAGGTCGGCCCCCACCCAAGGCCGCCCCTCCTCACACAGAGTGCCCTCCCCTCCCCTGTTCCCCCCAAGAGCAGCTAGCCATACTAGTAGAGAGATGTCCAAGGAGCCAAGAAGAGAACAGCTCTTGCGAAAGGTAATGGGGCCAGGGGATGAGCCGGCATTCCCAGGAAAGTGCCAGCAGATAAAGTGAGTGCTGCCTGCTTCCCCCGCTGGGGAAAGAAAGAGGAGGCCAAGCGGAGAACGGGGAGAGTTACAGGGGCTCATTTGCACCATCACCGCCCAGCCGACCTCCCCGCGAAAGGCTGCCTAGCTCATCGCTCTGTCTCAGCTCTTGCTTGGCCCTGCTCCTCGTGGAAATAACTTTACTTCCAAGTCACAGGCCAGCTGCTCTTCAGCTTCTCCCACCTCCCAAGGATGTGGAAACTCGGTTGACTCGAAAGGCAACAGGCCCAAGGGGAGTCAGGCTAGCTGGGGTCTGTCCAGGCGGCCAGGTTGCCTCCCCCCCCCCAATCCGGCTCCCCCAGAAATGCTCCCCAGAAATGCTGAAGCCTCAGCAGAGCCCCGGGAAGGGGTCCCGGTGGCCAGTTGCAACCGACCTGCTGGAAGCGCCGCTCCGAGCACCCTTTGCACAGTCCCTGGAAACGGCTCATGTCCGACGCCGCAGGGCTTGTGACCAGCCCATGGAGGCACGCAAGGCTTCCGACTCTGGTCTGGCCAGCCAGAGGAGGACCCAGCCTCTGTGGCCCCGCACGGCTGCCCTGGGAACTCAGGAGCTCGCAGAAGAATGGCAGGAAGCCACCCCTCACCTCCCAGGCAGCCGCGGCCATGTGCGGCTTTGTGATAAGCCCGGAGGTTTCCTGAGAACTCGGAGGGAGAAGGAAGGCGAGAGAGTTCAGAGCCCGATTCCTGCCAGCAGCAGCCCTTGTTCTGTCCCTGCCACATACCAGCCCTTGGAGAAGCACCGCCAGGCCTTTCCCAGGGAAAAGGGGGGGGGAGAGAAAGGGGGGGGCACACTTTCATATTCATGGGGAAGGAAAAGGACCGTAAATAACGAAGGAGCACAATTTCACATTAAAAAATTTCTCTCCGCCCGTGGGGTGCATTGTTCAGTACAAACGCAAAGGCCTCCCGAACACCCCTCATCCCATCAGGGGGACTGAGGCACAGGCACCTTCCTTCCTTTCTCTGGGGGGGGACGGAGGGGTGCAGAGCGGGAAAACAGCCTTTCTCCCTGGACTTTCCATGGCCGCTTAAAGCTTCCCCAGGGCTGCCTTCCTTTCGCCTGCAAACGCGAGTGATGCAGGCTGATTTTGGGGAGGGGGTGGGGGTGTCGAGAACAGTTGAGAGCTCCCAGGGCTGCTGGATCCTCCTCCGGTCCAAGGCAGGTCAGGGCAGCTCAACCAAGAGAAGCCTCTTTCCATCGCAGGTCATGAGCTGTGACCTGGAGGGCTCCCTCCAAACCCTTCGGACCCACTGAATTCACCCAGTGTGTTTCCAGTTGGGTGCTTCCTTTGCTCCTAGAGCTTGTCCCAGAAAATGGGCCCCCTTCCCACTTGATTCCTTCCTTCCTTCCTTCCTTCCTTCCTTCCTTCCCTCCCTCCCTCTCTCCCGTTTGATTCCTTCCTTCCTTCCCTCCCTCCCACTTGATTCTTTCCTTCCTTCCTTCCCTCCCTCCTGATTGATTCCTTCCTTCCTTCCTTCCTTCCTTCCTTCCTTCCTTCCTTCCTGTTTGATTCCTTCCTTCCTTCCATTTGATCCCTTCCTTCCTTCCTTCCCTCGTTTGATTCCTTCCTTTCTTCCTCCCTCCCTCCCTCCCTTCCTTCCTTTCCTTCCTTCCTTCCTTCCCTCCTGTTTGATTCCTTCCTTCCCTCCTGTTTGATTCCTTTCTTCCTTTCTTCCTTCCTTCCTCCCTCCCTCCCTCCCTCCCTCCCTCTCTTCCTTCCTTCCTTCCTTCCTGTTTGATTCCTTCCTTCCCTCCTGTTTGATTCCTTCCTTCCTTCCATTTGATCCCTCCCTTCCTTCCTTCCTTCCCTCCTGTTTGATTCCTTCCTTTCTTCCTCCCTCCCTCCCTTCCTTCCCTCCTGTTTGATTCCTTTCTTCTTTTCTTCCTTTCTTCCTTTCTTTCTTTCTTCCTTCCTTCCTTCCTTCTTTCCTCCCTCCCTCCCTTCCTTCCTTCCTCTGCCCTACTGGGTGAATGGAGTCAGCCATCTGGCTAAAGAAACTGGCTAGAACGGGGCTCGTCTCAGCTCCTCCAGTCGCCTTCCACACACCTTGATCTGCTCCATGTCCTGCTGCAGCTGCTGCTTCCCCAGTAAGGCCGCCGGCTTGGCTAACGTCATCTCTGGTGAAAAAGAGAAATGGAAGCACACAAAGAAAGAAGGAAGGACAGGCCCTTCTGGACCTTTGGCAGCTCGGTATGTCCTGCCCTCCCAATGGGGAGGGGTACATGAGGGTCCGCTACCCATGAATCATGCACCTGTTAACAGCTTAACAATCTAAAAGCATCCAGTACAACAGAAATCAGAAGAATAAAGGGGAAATACTACAAAAGATAACGCAACAAGACTAAAATGGTTATACTGCACTACCGTATTAAAATTAGTAATTTACATCTTATGCAAATCAGTGAATATAGTTTACAATACAGTCATGTTTTACTGGTTTTTCCCACCAAAGTCTTCTGACTTCTGTCTTGAAACAGAGAAAAAGCCCAAGGCAACATTGCAGGTTGTTCCGTGTCACTAATAGATAGATAGATAGATAGATAGATAGATAGATAGATAGATAGATAGATAGATAGATAGATAGATAGATAAGATTAGATTAGATTAGATTAGATTAGATTAGATAGATAGATAGATAGATAGATAGATAGATAGACAGACAGACAGACAGATAGATAAGATAAGATAAGATAAGATAAGATAAGATAAGATAAGAGAGCTCTCCAAGTCCTCACTCCTAGACAGACCCACCTTGGCCTGGCTTGAGCTGCCGTGTGCCCACTTTCAGGTGCTTTGTTCGGCCCAGATCTTCTCCCAGTAAGTAATACCAGCCACAAATTTTCTGAAGGAAGGAAGGAAGGAAGGAAAGAGGAAAACAACAACAACAGCTGTAGGATTTACACTCCCTCCTATTTGCTGTTAAATGTGCTACTAAAAAAAGAAATCCCCGTGAAAGCATCTGCACAGAGAACTGGAAGGTTTTGGCCCCTAAAGTTCTACACATCATACTCACACCTCTTATATAGGCTTGGCTTTCGAAAGAGGCAGCAGAGGGCAGTGTTTGCCTACCAGCCTCATTTCCTCCAATTATACTGTAATTATACAATATAATTAAGCAAATGGAAAAGGTAATTAAAGTACCTCAAACAAATCCCATTTGCTTCTCTGAAGATCTCTATCTAGATTTTTTTTTTTTAAAGATATCTCTGTTAAGGTTAGTGATAGCTTTGAGAATTTTAGAGGGGAACACAATATCCTTTAACTTAAAATATCAACTGGTAAATTACTGTTAAGTTACTGGCTTCATTTTTACCCACAGGGATGTCATTTTCTGGATGCTGCAAGGGACCATAGTTTGAATCCAGCCCTGCCAGGAAGGCAGAAAGGCCCCACCCCATCCTACAGGGATCATCATATTGCTCTCAAGGCCTCCCTAACACGATAACACTACTAAGCCGTCTGAAAAGTTAAGTCCCTTCTGAGCATTTCCGGCAGATGGAACTGTGCCTCCGGAAAAAGATTGGGAGCAAAGTCACCATTCTCGGCTCACAGCTACTACTAAACCACCCCTTTCTCCACAAGGCAACCATTCTGGTTGGGTCCCCCCACCACTCTTGGCCCCAGGCACCATCCCTACCTTCTCTGGACCCAGCAAGGTCTTCACACCGAAGCTCATGCAGCCAAGGAGTCTGCTCTGCCTGGGCAGGAAACAGGGGAAAGGGTAACAGACAGCACAGAAAGGAGCCCCTGGGTGTGTGTGTGTGTGTGTGTGAGGGGAACACTTTTGTGATTGCCAGCAGGAGCAGCTCTCTCTGTCATCTTGCTGCTGCTGCTGCTGCTGCTGCCCTGCTCTGCCCTCTCACCCTTCCCTTGCTGACGTTCACCCTTGGCACTGGAGGACAAAGGCCACCAGCCCTGGGCCAAGTGGCATGCCTGAAACCAGGCTGTGTGCAAGGCTGTGTGACAGGCATCATCCTCTGGATTACTCTGCCGCCTTTTTACCTCGAATCCTGTGGTCGGTTCCAGACTGTGACAAGGAGGCGCTTCTGCTCATCTTCCTCCTGCAAACAGCTGGAATGCAGCGGAGAGAAAGTGACCCTCAGCCCTCAGGAATCACCCGCCCTGGGCATCCTCACCCTCTCTTACGACTGGCTGAAACCCGGAGGTTCTCTGCCTTAGGCAGCCTTACACCCTCCGGGTGGGAAGTTTCTTTAATCCAGGAGCTGCGCTTCGAACCAGAAAGGGGATTATGCATCTGCTCGGCCACAATGCCGGCCCACCTCTGAATATAAAGCACTAGCTGCAGCGTTCTGGCTATTGAAGGATGCCACTGTGCAAGAATCCCCTTGGTCCAGCCACAGTGGAGATTCCAGCCCCATGGAGAGGAGGAGGGAAAGGGCCCTGGGAGATGCACCATCGACTTCCACGCGGAGGGGCCCAACGCTGTGGGAATTGGGGGTGGGTGGGGGGCTGGGCAGCAAGTCTTGATAATCCACCCCATACTCACAAGATAAACTGCTCGTGGAAGACAGGGTTTTTACTGCCCAAAATGGTCTTGGACTTTTGCCTGCATTTCCGCGATGTGTCTGGCACAATGGACACCTTTGTTAGGAGAGGAGGAAGAAAAAAAAAATGCAGTCAGACTTTTTTGGGGGGATAGATCACACTCACACCCACAACTGAGCTGCAACAAGTGGGGTAATCCTGTGGATTCAAGCACGAAAGGAATATATCCCCCCCTCCCCCAAATGCAATGCTCCTGGGACCTTCCCAAGTTCTGCACTAGGTTGGGTGGACACGGGAAAGAAGAGCAGAGAGCAAACCAGACTCCGTTCTCTTTCCTCTCCAGGCGCCCACATTTCCCAAAGCTAGAGGAAAACAGGTTAACCAGAGGAGAAGCAGAAAGTCCCTCTGACAACAGAACAATACAGGTAGTCCTCACTTAGTGACCACTCGTTCAGCCGTTGGTGACAGCGCCAAAAGAGTAGCCCTCGGGACCAGGCCTTGCGGTTCCAGCCATTGCACTCCCCCCCCCCCCCCCCCGCCCTTCCCACGGTCCTGTGATCGTTACCTGGCTGCTTGGCAACCGGCTGTGGTCACCAGGCCGCCATTTGCGACCTTCCCACCATGGAGGACACTAAGGAGACTCCTCCTCCGAAGTGACCTCCCCCAAGACAGTCCTCTTTCTGGGTGAACCACGGCCATACCTTGACAAAGGAGTCACACATTCGATAGTGTTTCCCCATGAGACCTTTGGCTTCCACGACTGAGCGGGTGGAGAAAGGAAAGAAGAAATTGCGCTTGAAACAGGAATGAATGGAAATAATTCTATTTTACAGACAGCAATAGTGACAGCGATCGTTATACACACACACACACCTCCTCCCTTGTCACTACTTTCTGCCGGTCTCACCCATTCGGTTCCTGCAACCCCAGTGCAACTCTCACTGCCCGATCTATGAAAACAACTGGCATGAACTTGGGGCGCTTCCAAACGCACAATGTTTCGGTCCACAATCTGCCCTTCTGGATTGCAGAATCCGGACTTGGCCGCCCTTAAGAGCCACCAGGGCGGAAAGAAGAACATGGGTGACGAGTATGCCTGCTTACGAGGCAAGGGGGATTGGTTCTGGATAGTGCCATGGGCTTCCCCCAAAACATTGTATTGTCAAGGAAAGCCAAGGAAGTCCCGTCCTTCTGCCAGGGCATTCAGTGTTTCCACAGGAAAGAAGCATCGGCAGCCCTGTTTTTTCCCACTTGGCACATGACCTGCCACAGAGACGGGGTCTGAAGCCCCACAGAACCTTGGAAAGTGGGTGGGTGGGAGGGCGCCGCTGGCTCCTGGCTAATAAGGGGCCTGTCTGGTCTTCGGCCAAATCTAGAAGCATAAACGGTTGGTTGGCAGACAGCCCCCAACGCCAAATCCCCAGCAGGCTGCGGTGTCCTATCCAAGCGCTTCATGTTTCCTCTTTGCTTGGGCAGGGGGTTTTATTACTTCTGTACCGTAAACACGCCCCACCGACTTACCATGAAGTTTAAGCCTTCTGCCTTGCATGTGGATGGAGAGCTTCAGCTGTCCTAGAGCAGACAAAGAAGGCGATTGCAAAGTTGCTTTGTCACACGCACACACACAGAGCCTCTCCCTCAATATTTCCCTCTTCCATCAGTGAAACAGAGGTGGGTTTCTTTCCCCCACAACGCTCTCCTCATGCTTGTTTACTTTAAATGCCCTATGTCGCCCACGCCAATTTGTGGCCCTTAAGCAGCTTACAAGTACACACAAGTCCTCGTTCCGCAACTGTTCAAAGTTGCGACAGAACCAAGACTGGTCCTTCAAAACGGTACAGGCTCCCCACTGGATCTCCACCGGGCTGCTGGGAGAACCACAGTTTCCCCGAAAGGGCTGACAAGGGCAGGGCTGTCACGGCTGCCTCTATGGCTTTGCTGCACAGGGGGGACGATGCAAAGACTCGTAGGGGTCTGGGCCTCCAGGAGCGGAGGGAGACAAGGGTGCAGTACGGAGGGACAGACGGGCTCTTGCAAGACTGCACAATGAAACAGGGACTAAATCGCCACCATTGCCTCGCCCCCACCTCGCCCCGTGGAGGACTCACCAAACGTTGCCAGGCAGCAAGGAAACTGCAAACGGTTAGCTGACTTGGCACAGAGAGAGCCTCGGTGGGAAGGCCTGGGCTCCATAGTTCCCCTCAGCTCCTTAAACTGGCAGGGAGACCAGAGACCATTTTTCCCAACTGCCCAACGGAGGCAAGCACAATTTTTCCTCCCAGGCCGCTGCCTTCTAACCGCCACTATTTGAATAGGAACGAAAAGCCCATTGGTGGATTTGAAAGTCGATCTGTACCTGACGGGCAACAGCGACAGGCTTGGCTCCACACCTGACACGCCTCGTTGCCTCCAACTGCCCTCCCTCAATCACTCCACTCCCGAGGCTCTCCTGGCAGCGCCCTTCCCCAGGCTGGAAAAATGCTCTTCGGCAAGTCTTTCTCGGCCACCACCGATGCGCATTTGCCCTGAGGCATCCATGGACCGCATATAGTAGAAGGAAGCTTAGACACAATCTGGCCTTAAAGCTCGTTTGCTCAAACGCTAAAGATTCAAAACATGCGGAAGCTCAGCCTGACTCAGAAGAATTTGGCATCAAGATTGCTTTTCCACGCGTGCGAGCAGCGCCTCCCCTAACCAACAAGCCCTCTCCTCATGTTGCAACAGTTCAGGGGATGGATTAGGCATTTTGTCCTCTTGCTTCTGGGGTTTTTCTCATCAAAAGGTGAAGGCCGAGGCAATCCCTTGTGTGAAGGACGTAGGCATCGGTTATTGAATACCTTTAACTTATTGGCAGGTAATCTGGTTTACTTTCTAGGGGAAAGGCTGTTCCTCTTTTTAAGAAAGCACACACGGAATACCCATGTTCCTGCGCAGGCGTGCTCCCATCTTTGCCTCCCCACATGGGGACGATGTTCTCTTCTTTAGCCATGGACCTTTTTCTGGAGGGCTCCTGGCCCTGACTTTCATCTGCTTCACATTTGAGGTGCAGCATCCACAGGCTGATGCCTCTGTGCCAGTGTCAACATGAGGACTATTACAGGGTGTTGGTTTTTTAACATTTTCCTTAGTACTGTTGTTTGGTTGTCTTTAGCAATCTGTTTTCATAGTTCTGAATATTATTGTTTTGTGGACTGTTAACAATCTGTTAGATAGTGGATGAGCTGTACCATGCATGAATGGATGGATGGATGGATGGATGGATGGATGGATGGATGGAGGAAGGAAGGAAGGAAGGAAGGAAGGAAGGAAGGAAGGAAGGAAGGAAGGAAGGAAAGGAAAGGAAAGGAAAGGAAAGGAAAGGAAAGGAAAGGAAAGGAAAGGAAAGGAAAGGAAAGGAAAGGAAAGGAAAGGAAAGAAGGAAGGAAAGATGGAAGGAAGGAAAGGGAAGGGAAGGAAGGGAGGAAGGAAAGGAAAGGAAAGGAAAGGAAAGGAAAGGAAAGGAAAGGAAAGGAAAGGAGGAAGGA